GGTGGGCGATACGCTAGAAATCTTCTTGATTCAGTTGGCTTTCTTTTTTATTTCAAATACTCACCCCTTTACGGCCGTTCGAATTTCTTCTTCACGCAGACCCTTTGCTTTCATTTCTTCTACTCGAGACTCGACCTTTGTATTCACCGCAGCTCGAAATTGGTCCTTTCGATATCGTTTAACCTACAGCCTAAAAGATTGGCTGTGGCAGAGTGGAAGAGAGAGGAAACTCCTTGTAAATCTGTTCAATCCCCTAGACTTAAGGCGAAAATCGTGTCAAAGGTGTCTCAGTCTTCTTAGTTTTTTCTTCCCTGCCTCTCGCAAACCACTTTTTTCTCATTTTCAATCGTATCGTTACTCACGGCTTAATTTTCAACGAATATTCGTCGAATAAAATCTTAAAATCACATTTTCCAAAGGATAATACGTAAGAAAAAATCATGGAATTAAAAACACATACATCGCATGAGCTTAATTTCAGTACGATGATCATGGATTTGCCTCAAGATGAATGTAACGAAGTTCTTGATGTATTTGCATGCATGTCCATCTGGAGTCGTGCACTTCAGACGTTCGCGAATCTCTTATTCAAAATAACGAGTGAGCCAGCGAGTGCAGGAGAGAGAGAAAAGAAAAGGCGCAGGACTCTTTTAGCTGTCTCGTCGACGTCTTTTAAGTACGAAACTTGCAGGGAATTGATTTAAGTGCTGAATGCTAAATCAACGAAATACACGAGAAGCGAGCAGACGCGCGCGGCTGCGAGAGAGACAGAAAAAGAGAGCTATATATGGCTGGAGGGAGCGAGAGCGACAGCTTCGGGAAAATTTACGAGTCCTACCGACACCGCACCACCGTGGGGGGTGTTGTTCTTCGATATGCTTTCGCTAGCGGACGCGTGTACGGTGTATGTGCGCGCGGGCGCGACTTGGCGCCAAGCCGTAATCTTTTATAATCCAAAATATTACTTCATTGGCCTTGCGCGCCTGGGTCGCTTGAGTTATTTATTATCGTTTCGAGGGTAACTTTTGCAACCAATCGATCATTCTTCGATTTTTACAACAATTCATTAGTATTTATTTTAGGGTGATTGTTCAGGCTGATATCTTTGTTTAATCACTTATTTCGATACAAGGCTTTAGATTTATTTACTGTTAATATAAAAAATTATAGTAGAACGAAACATTTCAGAATGTTCAATTTAATAAACATGCTACTGACGCATAATCTCACATTCATGCAGATTTAAAGTTATATCAGACTTGAAAATTGAAGTAACGAATGCTGAATTTTATTCAAGGTACTTTTGTATGTATTTTTCATTCAAGGTACATGAAATCATTGGAAATTAATGTATTAATGCAGATTAATTTTAATGCAAAATGAATAAAAAGACTTAAATTCTATATTTTGTAAATTTCAACACTTGGATTGAAAATTAAAGTTTTAATGCTGTAAAAATAAGTCCATAAGTGAAGCGTGGCTTTAAACACATTATTGAATTCGTTTATTTATGTAATTTAATTTTAACTCGCTAATTCAAACTACATCTATTTTAATATTTTCATATAAAACTAAATTTCCAAGAGAAAAAATTTTCTACACCGTAAGAATAATTTTAATTAACATATTTTTAACAGTGATAGTTAATGAATATCATAAATTATACTGTAATATAGATTATTTTGTAAAATTGTGATGGGGAACAAACTTCTATTGCTAATACATTACAAAATTACAAAATCAATTTCTTGCAAAAAAATTATTATTTTTAATTACAAAAAAGTTCTGATGGCAAGATTACTCCAGTTTCCGGTTCTATAGAAATAAGAAAAACCATAAACCGATCACATTGAGTGCGAAAAGAAACATGAATTATTTCGGCTAAGTTAAGCCAAATTTATTTAGAATCTCAATTAAAATTCTCGGCCTATACATCTTGATTATCAGATCGTCAAATGACAATGAAAGCAAAAATGAAATTTGGACTAAAAATATCGCCGGAGCCGAGTGCGAGACATGTCTTTCACTGGAAATTCGAGTACTTAACAGCAATAAAAGTCTTTATAAGTTTGCAGTTTATTTCCGTATGGTGATTTTCTTGTGACTGGTTTTCCTTTGAAATTCGGTCTATATTCGTATATCTATGTCAAGAATGTGTTGACAGTCTTAGTGTGTGTGCGCGCGGGTCGAGCGGTCGAGTTTTAAGCATGATGGTGCTGATGCTGCTGCTGCCGGCGATCGCAGAATGAAAATCGCGGAATGCAAAAAGGCAGATGACGGGACTCGTGAGTAGACGCGCGCGAGCTGCACTCGGCATAGAGCCGCGACGCGCTTACACACCGCAGAGAGCTATAATATCTATAAAATCAGGAATATCGCCAGACGAGCTGCGACATGCCCTCGCCCGATTATGCTCGAGCTGCATGCGGAGTTGTGTGGCACCTGCAGCTCTCACTCCGCTTTTTCATTATTTCCTTCGACTGTAAAATGTGTTTTACGACGATGACTCGCTGTCCGTCGTCTAGCGCGAGTATTGGTTCATTTTCTTTCTTCTCTTTTTTTTTATGGTCGAAATATTAAGGCGCGTGACGATCTTATCGGAGTTTTGGGAACGCATCTTGTACGCACGCGCATTATGCAGTGCACATGAATTCTGTGAGAACCACGAGTGCACTGCTAATGACGAGTCTTTCTGAGGAATTCACAATTGCTCTTTTATTGACTTGATGACGGGGTGAAACTCGAAAATTCTCATTTCTATAATCAATTATCGTTTCTAAATTTGCGATAAGTAGGCGCGGAATGGTATTAATAAATCAAAAATGCAAGTGAAAGAAAAAGCCGCCGACGACGACGACGACGTTAATTTGAGCCGGGACACCTGGTTCATCGCACCAAGGTGGCATATGCTCTTTACTTTTTCGCACTGCTCGAACGAGACAAGGAAAGCGTTGTTATACGGTCGCCGCGAAGCGCAAAGAGGAAGAGAGAGAAAGACGCGCGACAAAGAACGCAAGGTTCGAGGCAATCGCTGCGCGCATTCTTCCTTGATTTGCAATATCATCTGTCTAGCTTCTTGGAAAAATCACGGGCTCGAGCCGAGTTTCTCTTTGCTCGCGCGCGCGACTGCTTGTTTTCATTCTTCGCGATGGTTAATTGCTTAATTCATGTTTTCAGAGAAATTTTCTTTGGCCGATCAAACGCGCGCATTTTCGCTTCGTTAAATCAGCTCTGCCTCAAACGATAATCGTTTTTTCTCTCTTCCTGTGAGTGTATACATGTTGGCTGCTGCTGCTGCTGCACGAGTAAATAAAGCGCGTAACAGATAAAACGTATACTCATTACGAGCTTGCATACTTATGTACATGGTACTCGCTACCGTTGAGCACCGGTAAGAACGATCTTGCATAGCAACAGATTCTTGAATTTCATTGCCCAACTGGTATGCATAAACTCAAACAAATATGACCGCCCTGTCAGCAGTGTTTCATGACGACGGTGACGATTGCGATTAATTAATTTTACTCTGCCGAGACACTCAGTTTGCGTTCATTTAAGGTTTTTAATACGCCAAGAGCTGCTATATGTCTTTTTATCTCGCCCCCGTGCTCAATTCAGTTTTATTTTATTTAATTTTTTTTTGTTCAATTTCTGTCTCGCATTTTTGGTTAGATCAATTATGATGTTTGAATTATTAACTAAGTCATACGAATATATATCGAAACTCGGGCTGAAAATTTTGCTGCACCGGTCTGTTTTTAATCATCATCTTTTAGTAAAATAGACATTGTTATTCAATTTGACGAGCCGATAAAATTTATAAGGAAAATATAAAGTCGCTGCGGAAGATGGTTAAAAACACACGTGCGCGTACGTAGAGGCGCGATATATCGTGGGAAGAGTTGCCCCTGGGTCAAAAACCAGTAGCCCCTGATGTTGACTTTAGAATGACCGGCGTATTTCCTCGTCGTTACAGTCGTGAGCGCGAGCCGCGTTCTTCGGAGTGCCTCGTAAAAGCTCCTGTGTGTAGCCTCGGCTCGCACTACCTACGATCACTGTCGAGATTAAGGAAACGAGCGAGCCCAGCCCGTGTGCCCGCTACACAAACGCGATTCGTCCACGTACTCGGGAATATAAAGGCCGCTACTGTCCATCGTGCGATCATTGTAATGACGAAACTTTGTCAAAAACTAATATTGAGACTTCATTATCTTTCTCTTATGTGTGAAAGAGCGCGTTTACTATATATGCCCGCTAAAAAGTTTATCATATTAAATTTAGAACGTCGCGAGCAGTGAGAATTGAATCGGGCAAAAAATGAAATTCACCTTGGACTGCTGCTGTTACTGTTGCTTTATACCAGCTTTACAACGTCACGCGCATTTCTACTTGATCAGCAAAAACACGAAAAAGCCTGGGATGAAAATCGACCAAAAAGAATAACGATGAAAAATACGAAGAGTGTTGAAGAAAAAGACGAACAAAGAATATATATGACATCTCATTAATTAAAGCGCTCCAGATGTTCGGAATTACTTTGTCTCCGCTAAGTTCTTACCTCTCGTTCCAATGCTAACTCTTGATTTTACACCGAGAGCGGAAAGAAGCTCCGAGACTTACAGAAGTTGCTGATATTTTATTCTTTAAATGCAACTCCAGCTTATAGAATAAATTGAGGCTCATTCAACAATAAATTTTAAAATCATGCAAAATAAATTTCATTTCAATTCGGCAATTTTAAATTTATTATTAACCATTGTAATTGCTAATTCATTTTATATTGATCGCGTATTCTATCTAAAACTAAAAGTGAACTTTGATTTTTTTATATTTAATGCAATGTATATCTTATCGCAATTATTTTAGGAATAAAGTTATCGCTAAAAACTGATAGAAAACTTATCTGATGCTTATCACAAAAATGAAAATCCCGTTTGTGCAGTGGCACAGGGATTTTCAGTTCTAATTTTGAAATTATATTGAACAGTTCTCGACAAAAAATGAATATCGAGGGTAAAGTTATTATAATTACTGGTGGCATGGGTGGAATGGGATACGAAACAGCTAAAGCTTTATTGAAAAATGGCGCTAAAGTATAAAAAGAAATTTCAAAATTATCTCTTTCTTGATTTCTAATAATTCAAATGTTTATTCCAGTTTATAGCTATTTTTGACTTACCTGGTTCTGCCGATGAAATTGATTCAAGTTCCAAGGGTCTTTTTGCTACTGAACGTGCGAAATTTTTCCCAGGAGATATCTCAATTGATTTCACACTGAAAAGTAAATTAATTTGTACCAGCCATATTAAATAAAAATATAAAATGAAATATCATTTAAAAATTTAGGTAACTTTGATCGAGTCGTCAACGATCAAGGCTGCGTCGACATCGTTATAAATAACGCTGGTATCGTCAACGAGCAAAATATCCAGCGCTTAGTCGATCTAAACGTCGTAAGTTTGCAAAAACTTCCATATATGCAAGCTCTATTGTATGTGTAATATAAATGATGCGCTCCAGAAGGCAGTATTGAGTTGTAGTTTATTGGCTCTGACGCATATGGGTAAGCATAAAGGTGGCCGCGGTGGACTGATCGTCAACGTGAACGCCATCCTCGGCCTCACTGATTGCCCGCTATTGCCGTTTTATAGCGCCACAAAACACGCTATCATCGGCTTCACCAGATGCATGAAGGTTTTACCTGAGAGTACTTTCCTTATCGAGATACGATCGTGCTTTTAATAATCACATTAAAAGTGTATTTCTGGTTTACATAGGATAACTTCAATAGCACCGGAGTACGTGTCGTTTCAATCTGTCCTGGAGTAACGAAAACTAATCTCATCAGAAAATTGCCTGAAAATCTTTGTGACTTCATCTCGGATACTATCAAAGAAAAGGTTCTTACAGAGGTTCCAGTACAATCGTAAGTAATTGACTTTATTAATGTAATGAATTTTGGATAAAGTTTAAACTATTGATTCATTTTAGGCCAACTAGCGTGGCTGATGCAATTGTAGAAATTATCAAGAAAGGCGAGAGTGGAGCTGTATGGGTTGTGGAAAATGATAAAAAGCCATACGCGATAAAGCCAGTCGATCACTACGTCAATATGAGCTATCCAATTTAATTGTAAGAACCAAAAGTAACCAATAAAATGCATATATTATCGTCAATAATTATTTACAATCCATTAGACTCGAATATAGAATGACTTCCGTTGATTTTGCCAATAAAACCGGTGCAATAAAGAGAAAAAAAAGTAACAACATTTCACATGCAAGGACAGATTTTATGGGTCCGATGGCTTTTATTGCTAGCCACATGATGTTTGTATGACAAGTCGGAAAGAGTTAACCACCCGATCTTGAACTTGAAGAATTTTGTGCAATTAAAAGCTTATGGCATGCACATTGCTGAATCAATCCGCTACGAATAAAAGATAAACGACCGTACAGCACTGGAGCTAAAACGAGAACTTATACATGAAAGGAAAGTATATGCTCGAACAAAGTTTAGTATAAGAAATTGTAAAAATTATCAAAACGGTACTTGCATAATTAAATGAAACAAAGAACGGAGTGGAATTTAAAGTTGTAAAATCGATTCTCTTGATTCGTACAAGCATATTTACCTCGGTTCGTTTTATCACTGTTAAACGAACGACTCGGAGTATTAATATCCTCGCCCAAGAAGCCGGTGAAAAATCCAAACAGGAAGGCAGCCACATGTAAACGCATCGAACGAATCGAAATAATCACCGACGAAAGGATCGAATAATTTTTTATTTGCACAGCAAATGCACGAATGGGCGTCCAGCTGTTTCGTGCGTGGGTGCATTTCGGCGTTTGCATCGCCAGTCCTGTAATTCGTCGCGCCTGCCGACACGGCTCTGATTCGCGAATAATCCGATACTCTAATCGCTAATTTCCGGTGGGATGCCGATGGAGACACGCAACGCTCCGACAAACTTCTATATCTATCATTCTGGCCGCTAGTTGCACTCGGCGCACGTCAGTTAAAAGTGGTTGCAGGCGCGTATAAAGATAATTCTCTTCTTTTTAGGGTCCTCTATTCGTCTTTCTCTCACGTGTGCATCATGCAAACTTCATCTTTTGCAGCGGAGCAGCACAGTGCAACTAGCGCAGAGTAACGCTGTTGGGCGTTTTGGCGTTGACGTATACGCGCGCGCGCCTACTTACGAAATCTCTCGAGCTCGTGTCCAGCGCTCTATTTCATGCCAAATTCCGCTGACGATCGTGATCGTTTTTCCTCCCTCGCGTACCTACGGGTGTTTGAATGCGTGTGTGTGTCCACTGCTTTCAAGGCATGGGCCGAGATTTCCTCGTGCTCGCGTTCGAGAACGTCTTCACGTACGGCGCGCTGTACGCAATGATCTATTCTTTGCTTCCTCTGCCTCTCTCCTTCGTGTTTCTGTCTTTTACAGCCGAGCGAAGACGACGAAGACGACGACGACGACCACGACTGGCTGCGTGCAGCAACAGCAGCAGCGTATATTATGTACGCGTCCGTTCAATCGTGCACGCGCGTTTAAAGCGTGTCGCTTCTTCTGCCGGCATAATGCGCGTGTCCACCTACAAACCAATCTATTTGTAGGCGCCATCTCTTTATCGAGCTCTCCTCGCATGTTCTTTCTCTGCTTCAATTCAGACGGCTCACTCGTACATGGCGCACGATTGTGCCGCGCGCGGCCAGACAAGCCAGACGCGATGGCGTATCGTGGCACTGCACCGAGAACGAGAAGCAAGCAGCAGTTATATACAGTTGTAATGTAAGCGTTGCAGCTCGGCTTGCCGTTCTCTCTCCCTCTTTCTCTGCATGTGCAGTTCGTACTGATACTTATTACATACGCTCACAGACGCAATTTTTCGCATATTTTTCAATCAAACGGTCGCCTCCTCATTATCCCATTTCCAGCTTCTGCAGGGCTTTTTCTGTTTTTGTCGCGCGCGTAAGAAACGAAGCGTTGAATTTTTCAATTATCCTCCATCATTGATGGCAATTTCGAGCTCATTTATGTCGAGAAATTATCATTAAAAGCAGCCATGATACCCGGACGGCGAAGCGAGTGCGACGACGAGACGATACGAGCCCGAGAGATGATCTGATGAAGACATAGACCTTAAATTCGTCTTTCCGCTCAATTCTGGTAAACAGGCTGGTAATAGTAGTTATAAATTATTCAGGCCGAACGGAATGACCTAAGCGATTATATAGTCGCGCGTGAACGCGGGTACGCGCGGTGCTAACTGACTGCCAGCAGCAGTGGCAACAGCACTCGGTCAAATTAGCCAATTGAGGGCTTCGAGTATCCGCAGATATCTTATTACACTCAGACATTCAATGGCGTGTCGGTACACTCGATGCTTCATCGTACAAATCGAGCCGATCATGCATCCATAGCCCAGTCTTTCATATTTCCGCGTGCTTTATCAATTGCTCGGGCAGCATCGCGGCTCGTTCGTTACGCTCTTCTATCGCGGCCTGCGCGCGAGCTTCCACGTTACACATAAATTTTACTTACAAAGACCACGTGGAGGGGAGCAAAAGGAAAAAAAGGCTCGATTGCATCAATGAAGCAGCCGAGTGTGAGCTTACAAGGCAAGTTCGTATAAGCAAATTTATACTCGTCGAGTCGTCGAGGTGTAATAGTGCGTCCGGTTGTGTCATTACTCCCTTTCGCGAAGCTCGTTAGCACATTCACGCGCGCACATTTAAACGACTCGTATCAAGTATTATATATGCGCATATATACGTATACTAGCTTGTGTGTGTATGTGTGTATAGCTGCTGCGTAAACGGCATAAATGCGCGCGCGCGCGAATATAAACGCTCAGGCACGCGAGAATCTTTGGCTGCTCTTTTCCCTCCGCACGACCAAGAGGACAGGTAAAGTAAGTATAGTAGCTTCTTTTCGCTCAAAGCAAACGACCTGTTCAACTGTTATGGGATTAATTCGTACGGCGCGTTAACACCTCATGCAGCAGAAGCAGCAGCAGCAGCAGTCGTGACTTTCTCACGCGACAATCTTTGCGTTATTAGGACATTCGCGATTATATTTTTCGCATTCGTAAGACGCATAGCCGAAGAAAGAAAGAGAGGGAGAAAAAGAAGCTAGAGAGGAAGACGAGACGTCTTTATGGTTATTTCAAGCCGTTACTAAAGCTGCGTACATATACATGCGTTCGTACGCACTCACACACATGCATATACACAGTCGAAAGCGAGAATGCACGGATTACTCGGTATATATACTGCACGAAAAGAAGTAGCTTCTAGTCTTTTATGCACTTATCGCGTCTTCGCGCTGTCCATTTGCCACGGGCGATAATAATTGAGAAAGTTTATAAAGTCACTTGGCTGAGCTCACGCATACATAGCTACTTGAATTTTAGACACTACAATTTATTCAAATTGCGGCTTTTTGCTCAACGGACAGTGTTTATTGCTCTTCTTTTATAAAGTGATAGCAGCGTAACAAGCGCATATAAGCGCGAACCGATCTCTAACTTGGACGCACACCATGATTCCTCAAAAAGAGAGCCCAAGCATACGTATAATGAGTAATAACAAGGCTGTGGAGAACGTACATATTATAATATGTATACATACAATGTTGCACTCGTGTGCTCGAGACGAAGGAATAAACGGATCGACAGCAAAAAGAAGAATACATGAAAAAAAATTGCAAAGAGCTGCTAATAATAACAAGTTGGCTAGGCAGAGGTACTCAACCGTATCGCGCAATAATAATAACGCGTCGATTAAGGAACGATACGCATCGAAATATAGCATCAGACAATAACAAAGTAAATGCGAGCACCAGATATAGAGAGAAAAAAAGGTAGAAGCAGCAGAAGGAGGAGGAGCAGCAGCAGGATGAAAAAAAGTCGCTCTATACTGCAGCCATAGGCGGTCTTTGCAGCATTACTAGGCTCTGCAATATTACATTATGCTCGCGCAAAAGCGTTCGAGCGATGCATTGCGCACACGATACATACGTCTGGTTCCCATCCCACTTTGGCAGCGCGTCTAGCAGTCAGAAGCGGCAATAATTTAATACAAAAGACAAACGAAGCGCGGAAAGAGCATTTCCCACAGATCAAACCTTTCTTCGCGCTTATATGCGTATAAAAATGCGCAGCAACGACGTCTGCGACGACGACGAGGACAAAAATCATGTACATAAACGCGAGCAAATTATAAGCGCGTATACCAGAGAGCGAAATAGAAAAAGGCAACGACGCTATGGGACACACTTAGATGGAAAATACATACATATCGAGAAAAAGGGATGAGGTAGCGAGTATAATCGCGTGACGGACACAATAATCATCGCGGCCGTTCTCCGCACTGCGTCAGCTCGCACAGTCATTTGGAAGCGACTGCACACGAGATCCGTGTGCGCGCTCGGCTTCAAAGGAAAATAATGTCACTATTCGCTGATCTACGCTCGGGTGCATAGCGGGGCATATTATGCCTGCGCCTTGCTATATATGTGCGCGATCTGCGGAAATCTTCGCACGGGCGTTTTTGCTCATTTCACTGTAATCGCAAAATAATATTTAATCTCGCCGTTTTCTTCTGTTTCGCGCGTTCTCACGCCGCACCTGTCCTATGCAGACTCGGCGACGGAGGAGCTGCTCGAGCGCCTTTGGATGCACCGAGGAGAGAGAGAGAGAGAGAGAGAGAGAGAGAGAAAGACAAAAGACTTGGCGCGACAAAAGACGAGAACCGAAGCGCCATTATCATCACATAAGTATATACCCGATATTAAACGATATATAGATGCGCAAATAGCGTGACACAAACTTCTTTTTTTTCTCCTGCAACGCCCCCACGAGAGAATCGAGCTTTTCTTTTGGACGAAAGTGAGCGCCTTGAGCGATTCTTTGAAATTCGCACGAAAGAGAGAGAGAAACAGACAGACGCTCATCAGACCTATTAATAACGCAAAAGAATTTGTACTCGCACATAAACACGCACGCATATAATGCATGCCATTGCCTCGTCTCTATTTCTTTCTTTCTTTCTTGGCACAAATAGCGATGCAAAGGTGGATAACGATGGAAGAGCTTATTCGTTCATATCATATCTAATAGTGAAATA